TATATGTATGTATATATGTGTGTAATTTCAAATGAATACATAGGACACAGAGGCTTCATTGTCCATCACAGTCTCAAGGAACACTTGCTATCATCTGCACCAAGCCACTCTGATATGTCAATATACTCTGCCTTGCTCTTTTCCTTGCATTTGCAGCATGGCAGCTGGCAAATTCAGATTAAATAGGACCTGTTTGGGACAATATTGTTGATTGTCAATCAATCAAAATAACATTTTACAAGCTTTGACCATGACAATAACAATGTCCCATTTGATTAAATAATGAAAACAATTTTAAATTCAAATAAAATTTGCTTTTGGGGTGAATTCCTGTTTGAAGGAAAGTCTTTCTAAAACTAAGTTGTTTCAATTTTTCCTTTTCCAGGTTCAGTGTGACAGGTGGTTCCATGCCGACTGCCTGCAGATGGAAAAATCCCTGCTTTTGAAAATGAAGAACAATGACTGTAAATGCTGTTTGTGCAATTAAATCCACATACAGTATTTGTTATGTTTTTTGTCTCTTTTTATATGCCCCCTTGCTATATCTGTCTGTGTGAAGAGGGTGGTGAAATATGTTTTGCATTTTATCTTTAAAAGTTTTTCTTTGAAACTTGACAATCAGAAAGCAAATAATGTGCATGTGTTAATATGCATTAGTTTTAGAACAATGCCTTTGATCACATCACACTAATGAAGTAGGTAGAGGGAGGCAGAGCTATATATGTCCAAAATGACACAAAAAAGACCAAGGCTTTTACAAAGGTTAATGTCTAGATTTTCAATATAGACAATCGAAACATTAGACATACAGTAAAATGACATTACATTTTTAAAGGACATAGTTGGAGTGATCATGAACAAGAATCCATTGAAAATGTACTACAACCTCTTTAGGAATTGTTTATTAACAGTTCAAATATAGGGAAATGATGAATAGTCAGGGTCCTCAAACAAGAATATTGACATAACCTCTTAAGGATTAATTTTTGTAAAATGTCAAATATAGGGAAATTATAAATGTCATTTGAGCTGAATTTACATCTAATTTTCTCAAAAACTGTACAGTAATATTTCATGACAATATTCATGTACATAGTGAGGGTCGTTATAAACAAGAATCCATTGAAATATTGACATAACCTCTTAGGGATTAATTTTTATATAGTGTCAAATATAGGGAAATTATGAATATCAAAATGTCATTTGAGCTGACTTTACATCATATTTTCTCAAAAACTGTACAGTTACATTACATTACATTTGACATGGAGATATATGGGGTCCTCATGAACAGAACTCCAATGGAAATTTTAGCTAACCAATGAAGGAAATGTATTTTTTAGAGATCAAAGATTATTATTAGGTAATATTATAATTTTCGAATAATTTTCCAATTAAAGATTACACTGCAGTGTAATTTCAGATTTTATTATTGTTATATTTCACTTAATGTACAAAATGACATTGTTTTTGACTTGTTATATCAAATTGGACAAATTATTGATGAAATATAGGTCCATTTCCGGGCTTTTTGGGCTATCCAAGTGACCGAGACGTGACCGAGGTTCCGCAGATGACGGACCACTTGACCACAGTACTCAACGGTCCGTGATGCTTGCGCAATAACACGTTCTAAACACTACAGTAACTTAACAAAACAAGCTAAAGGAATAAACACACTAAATGACCTAAAATATGCCCAGATACCAGATAACTCCTACTATGAGAAGCTTCTTTTTGGTCGGATTGGTCCTTCGAGTCGTGGAAACACTCGGGTTGCGCAGCTCCAAGTGTGGTGCAAAATCAATCTCACTCTGTAGAGAGGAGGGGTCTTCGGCGAAGAAAAAGGGAATTTGTCGTCCTTTTTGCCAGCACTGTATACATTAATGGTGTGAGACCGGGTCGTAGAAGTTATCCGTTCTCGCACTACAGGATCCAAAAATATAAAACACAGTCTGTTCGACCAGCGAATTTAACTTGTGACCTCGCAGGATTTATTGAGGCAAACGTTTCCTTGGGAGGGACCTCCTGGCACTGAGCGAGCTCAGACAGAAAGGGCAGATTTGAGAGTCGCCCTTGCTTTTAACAGGCCCAGGTAATAAAACCGGTGGGGGGTCCCTTTTGGCCAATGAGGGGCCAGCATCAAGTTTGGCTGGAGCTGGGAGGTGTGGTCATCTCTCCTGGCCCCTGTTCTTGTCAGATCTCAGATCAGGCCCTTGTTAAAAGAAACATGGATGCTTCTTTGTCTGAAGGCACATGTAAGGGTCTTGGTCAGCCATGACATCAGTCAGACCCCAACATCTGTTTGTAAGTGCTATTTTGCACTGTATGATTTCTATGAAATGTCGCACTATCACTGTTGTCCATGTACCTACAGTCTATGCTGTAATTACGTATGTATTATCTCGCTTGTTGCGAGTGAACACTTTAAGGGCTATCAAGCATTTCGAACAAAGCTTTGATTGTATGTCCTCATATTTTTATGGTGCCTTCACCAGTGGTGGTGGAACATCATCTCCTGGAGCTGGAGCTGCTACTTGTGGCCAGGCATGTGAGGAGGATTCTGCACACAGTAGTGATACCACCACCGGGGCGGAGGATGAGTCATTCATCTCTGCCTGTCCCCCACCCAGAAAGAGACTGTAGTTATGTCCCAATTCAGTGTCTGCATCCTTCGGAGGACCCAGCCTTCGCGGTCTACGTGGGCCGGGTCCTTCGAGGACCACAAAGGCTAGACCAAGCGGTCTCCGAATTGAGACGGCCTACGCTACAGAGGACTTCCTGTTTCCGTCACCAAACAGGAAGCCAGTTTTTCCTTTGCTATGCCCGTCGCCTAGCAACCAGCTTCGCGCTAGAAAGGTAGGAAAATGGAGCCAGACATGGTGCTTCTGATGGCGGTCATTTATCAGATCATGGTGGAAGAACTTATTTACCGCTGCCGACACCGCCGAGTCGTATTTTTCAGGCTCAGAGAGGACCATTTTCAGGTAATTTTAAATTTAAATTAAATTTAAATTGGTTAATCAATGTACTTGTATCTAAAAGTAATGTTAACTTCAGCTAGCTAACGTAGTTTGTATGGTTAATGTTGTTACAACTTCTATAATTTCATATTTAAAATGGTTTTACTGTAAACTAAAAAAAATCATTCATACATACATTTTTCAGCTGAAACAGGTTGGATGGACAGACAGATAGATAACTAGAGAGATAGATAGATATAATATGTAGATATAAGCCTATTCTACCTAAGCTCCCCACATTTAATATTGTTATTTATTTAACAGTTCTCCTTTTCCTCCTTTCCCTAAACCAGCCCAGACCCCTGTACTGCAGGATGAACCTAAGCGTTCCTGTCCTGGAAAGTTTTTTTTAACTCATAGGACCCTAGCCCTATTTGTAGGCCTCTGCTCGAAAATTGCATAGCCATACTCAAGAGAGTCCCGAGCTCTAACTACAAGGTCTATTTTAATAATTTTGATGCTAGAATACTGGTAACACTTGTGAGATGTGTTGAATTGTGTAAATATTGTGTATATGTTACTGGTTAATAACTGATACACTTATGGCACAGCTCAAATTGAAAAATTTCTAGGTTCGCCTGAAAAAAAGCACTTGTATTGAACATTTTTTTTTTTTTAAATAATGCAGCTGCAAGCCTAAAACCACGTCACAGTCATAGAACAACACGTTTTACATGTCCCCACAACATATTTTACTTCGATTGAGTGAAGCAGGCCAGCATAAATGGTCATAAAAATCAAAATTTTGATTTTCGGAATCAGCTGTTGCATTGCTGTATACTAATTTTATATACTATATAACTAAATATTAACTATATATTCACTTTTCTTATCACTAAGAGTGTTCAATAATCCTAATAAATCAGTTTGACACCATTTTGAATAATTTTGAGCAGTTATGATGTGTCATATCTGTCATTCATAACAATAAATGGCTCATAATGTGTGTCTATGTGACCCTGGTAAGGCCAATTTACTAGTGTGAGACATTTTTAGATGCGGGATAGTCCAACGGGAGCCATGCAGGGGTGTTTGATCGTATCCGGGTCTGTTTACTGACTAAAAATCGCAAAATGCTGGGCGAACCCCCCTCTCTACATGGATTGCTCCACCCCACAGAATCGTCTGCCATTTTGTGATTCATTCCGCCAGCGCATTGATCTCACTCACAGACATGCAGCAGAACACGGCGGGCAGAGCTGTGCAGAAATCGGCTCGAATAAATCCGTTTTTCATCGCCAAAACCGTCAAAACGTAAGTTTTTTTACCCAATTATTTTTCTCGTGACCTGCGGCTGATGTTGGCATGCATACCCATAACTTTTGAACTGTTTGAAAGAGAGTAATTTGGACGCCGCTGTGCGTTTCCGGGTCGAATCGTGCCCCTCCTGCATGTGTTCATCCGCCATGTGTCATCCTACTCCGTGATGAGAGAGCCATAGAGTAAGCATAGGTCGTCGATTTTTGGCCAAAATTGTGGCAAATCTTCTCGATATCTTCCAGATATGATATTAGTTCATGTATAATTGTGTTTGCAGTGTTTACAATGGCTGGTATGATGATGTTGCTCGGACTTTTCCCGTTAATTCGATATTTAATATGGAGTATGGAGCAATAATCATATTTCTTTATGAAAAATGCTTTCTACCACACGCTGAATGCTGCACACTCTAAAACAGCCCCCCGTGGGGGGCTCTCGGGTCCTATGGGTTTTTTTAATGATGAGGACACAAGGCCTGATTTTAGGCTGAGCAGGGAGGCCCTGGCTGTGCTGCTGAACCTCCTCCACCAGGATCGGAGGCACGGATGGGGTGCCACTATTGAGACCCTGGTCTTTTTATTCTGGCTGGCGTGTGGGGCCTCCTACAGGGTGGTCTCCAGAGTGTTTGGGATACCTCCATCCACTGTCCACCGCATCGTCCACAGATTCACTGAGGAGGTGGTGGCCATTCGCCACCAGGTCATCCACCTCCCGAGTACCCCCGAAGACCTGGAGGCAGTGTCTCGTGGGTTTTCAGGGCTGGCAAGACACCGAGGTTTTCGGAAAGCTGCTGGAGCCCTCGACGGCTGCCATGTCCGGATCAAGCCACCATGCGGCCCTGATGGTCAATGCTACAAGAACAGGAAACTGTTTTCTTCGATGCAGGCTGTTTGTGACCATCAGGGCTGCTTCGTCGACACCTACGTGGGCTGGCCTGGGTCAGTCCTCGACTCGAGAGTGCTGCACCACAGCCCGCTGTACCAGCGGGCTCTCTACCCTCCTCCAGGGCACTTCATCCTTGCAGATGGCGGGTATCCGTGCCTCCAACACCCACTCCCCCTCATCACTCCCTACAAGAGGCCATTGCAAGGTGTGGGACCCCAGCGCTTTAACGGCCATCATTCCAGGGCACGCTCCATCATAGAGCGTGCCTTTGGAATGATAAGCCAGTTCCGGGCAATCTTTCTACAAGCGCTGGAGGTGCACCACACCTTCGTACCTCATGTAAGTAATCACTCAACAATACTTTTTAGGATACTGAAGAACAGTAGATGACATATTTATATATTTGCCATTTTACCATTTCAGGTCATAACAGCATGTGCCGTCCTCCACAACATCTGCCTCGGGGCTGGGGACATTATGGCCCCAGAGGACGATCTTGTGGA